TGATAGTAGTACAGGATCCGTGTTCATGTGACATTTAGTTACACCAACATAATTGTTAATTCATAACATTAATTATTATCACATATTATTATTTAATAATAATTATTAACATCTAGTATCAATTAGTATTAAATATATTTAGCAAGTAATATAGGAAAGTAGTAACCAATAGAAATAGTGCACAGTAAGACAAGTAGTAGTGCACTAATGTAGATCACATAAAATACTTATAAAAAGGGACAAAGTTCTACCTTAATTCCTTAATTTACAATTTTATAATTTTGAATTTTGATAATTTGTAACTTATTTTAAATTGATAAATTTAATTTTATAATTTTTAACTCCAATATAAAAACTTGTAAAAATTACCTTGCAATTGGATTAATAAAACAATAATTATTCGAAATATAAAATAAAAATTATAAAAATAATTATTAAATATAGAAATATAATAATTAATAAAGGAATAATATTATAAGATTAAATACTTGATTGTATAATGTATAATATTATTATTCTGGAGTTAATGAAATTAATTACAAACTATTATTATAAACCCTGGAATTGGAATAATATTTAACCTTGATAAATTGGAGTAATACTCAACCATGATAAAACTGGAAAACAATTAATGAATAAATGTTAATACTAAAAGTAATGATGAACTTGAAAGATATTGGAAAAAATTAAATGAAAGGTCTGATTCCCTTTATAAAACAATTCAATCAGTGGTACTTTCTAAAACAACTGTACAACAGTCTTACCTTTGGGAAAGGCTATAAACTCCTTAAAAGAACCATTAAATTACATCACTGGGTTGCCCTCAAGAGAACCAAAAACCACTGGTGACAATGGTTACGTGCAAGACCTGAACTTCTTTTGTTAAAAGTTTTGTGATCAGTGCTTTTTTTGAAATTGACAGATCAGTTTTACTTGTTTAACTAAAAATTTGTAGCTTCGGGAAGATATTTTTCAAGATGACCACTACGGTTTTGATGAATAATACTCTGGTTTTTTTTTTAATTTAGAAATATTGTAATATACTGTAGATCTAGGAATACCCATTTGTTTTTGTGTTTCTTTTGCAGTATGGATTCCTCTGTTTCATAACTGTTGGATGGCTTTGGAATGTACAGTGGAGTTTCAAAAGTCACAGACAACCAGAAATTAACAAAAAAATAACTAAATTCAAAATACTAATTGTAACATAAAGGGTGATCTAAATTGCACAAACATTTTTTATTAGATTCTCCTAAACTAAAGCTATTTATAATATATATTGTGTCAAAATTGAATGCTTACATGTGGAGTAATTACACTCTAACCAAAACTGAAAAAATAAAAATTTAATCTTTAAGTGCTACCTATACCGGATCTGATAATATTAAAGGTAGATGCCAACTATCTGACAAAAAATTGCAGCAAAAAATAATATCAACAACTTTAATTAAAACAACTTTTCTAGTATCTAATTGAAATTTGGACTTTACTTAGGTGTGAATAAAATGACTAAAATTTGCTAAAAATTTTAAAAAAATAAAAATAAAAAAAAATTCGAAAATATTTTTAAATTGCTTTAATATATAAAAGTTTTTACTTATTAAAATAGTAATAAAAATGACACTAAGTAAAATTAAAGCTGAGCGTATAGCATCTTATGTAAAGTATTCAGATATATTTGATTAAAATTAAGCGAACAATCAACGATTAAATTCCTGAGAATAATTTTCGAACATCTGGCATACAGCTGTTGATATTAAATTTAATTCGCAAGTAAAAATTCTAATAACTTTAAAAATAGTACTACATATTTATTGCTATAAGATTATTTAGTAATACATTTGTTATTTTATTAATAAATAATGAACTTTAATATATATAGTAGCGTTTGATACTTATTTTCAGATTTTTTTAATATCAAAAATACAATAAATTTACATATGTTTCTAAGGAATTATTTGATCATTTTGCCATCGACTTCAAAAAAACAACTATTAAAGTTATTACATATAAATATCCATAATTTATTAATAAAATAACTAATTAATCTTAAAAATAAAAATTAATAGAATCTTTTATAAAGTTTTTAGAAGTTTTACTTGCGAATTAAATTTAATATCAATGGCTGTACACCAGACGTTCAAAAATTATTCTCTGGAATTTAATTGCTGATTATTTGCTTAATTTTGATTAAATATACCTGATACTTTATATAAGATGCTATATATTCTCAGCTTTAATGTAACTTGATTTCATTTTTATTACTATTTTAATAAAAAAAAACTTTTATATGTTGAAACGATTGATAAATATTTTTAGATTTTTTTTATCTTTTTAAAATTTTTAATAAATTTCGGACATTTTTATTCACGCCTAAGTAGAATCCAAATTTTAATTAGATACTAAAAAGTTGTTTTAATTAAGCAATAGATATTATTTCTTGCTACAATTTTTTGTAAGATAGTTGGTATCTACCTTTAATATTCATCGAATCCATTATAGTAACGTTCAAAGATTTAATTTTTATTTTTGTCAGTTTTATTTAGAGTGTAATTACTCCACATGTAAGTATCCAATTTTGACACAAGTATATAATATGACAGCTTTAGTTTAGAAGAATCTAATTAAAAATGTTTGTGCAATTTAGATCACCCAATATGTTACAATTAGCAAAACTTTACAAAAAATCCACAGCTGAAAATAATTGTCGAGAAATAATTTTTTATTTTTCTAAAGCAAGTAGAAACTTGAAAAGAATTCTTTTCATCGTGACTTGAAATATTCAGCAGACAAATAAAAGTGACTCACAAAAGTACCGCAATGCTTGGCATTTTCTAATAAAATGGTTTCGTATGGTTTTATAATTTTTGTATAACATTGCTAATCAATCCAATTTTATGCTATAAAGCCGACCTTCGATGTGTTTATAATAGTGTAATAATTCACAATCAACTTTTAGTTTTTGGTGGATGGAAAAATAATGAAAGTATAGAAACAACTTATAATGAAATGTTTTCTTTAGATTTGACAAAATAATTTGATAACATAAATTTGACGCTTGAATTAGTCAAGGAAGGATATCTTCCAGTATATACAACTTTTTCAACTGCCATACTTAGTACACTTGATGATACAATTTATCTGATTGGAGGTTACAGGATAAAGCTAAATGCTACTAATACTACAGATAGAAACGATTATTCAAATACAGTGTATACGTATAATTTCTTCCAATACAAGTTGGATTGCTCCAAATGTTGATAATGCTACTCCCAGGCAAGATATAATGGGAGTAATTAACGATGAAGGGACTATATATATTTTTGGTGGAAATAATTTTATTAATTTTTCAGCAGGAATGCTTTAGAATGATATGCAAATATTTAATGTTTCCACAATGGTTTGGACAAAATTAAGTATAAATGCTGGGCGTCCTTTACCAGCCTGTGCATATACAGCTAATATTTTGAAAAATGGAATTATTGTTTATCTTGGTGGAGTTGAGATTGAAAATGGAAGTTACACATATATTTAAGTTGCGATTTCTTCAAGCATGAAAACAGTAAGCAATAATTATTTATACACAATATAATAACTAATTGTCAATTGCTATTGTTTATATGTTAACGATTGCGATTTTTTTGTTATTGTCAAATAATCAAAATAGATTAGACGCTTTAATACATTAATATCAGAGTGATCACAAATGGTAATATAAAAAATTTTTTATTAAAATTAATTATAATCTAAAAACTTTTTTAATTTAAGAATGTTACAGATGTTAATTCACAAGTGTATCATTCTTCTGTATTAAGCAAGTATTATAAAATATAAGATTATTTCGGGATTAAGAATCTTTAAAAATCGTTATTAATACCAAAATATTTATACAGCTACAAATGAGTATATCAATTTATTTGGAGGTGGAAACCCGAATACGAGCCCAAAACTCGCAATATTAGATACAAATAAGGATATTTATGAATGGACAATTCCACCATCATCTAATTCTTCGCCTTTCTTATATGGACATACTGCAAATTTATATGAAAATTATACGATATGTGTATTTGGTAAGCAAAACTTATTATGAACTTTTCACTGAGTATATATATATTTTTAATAATAATTTTATATCAAATTCATGCTCTTATGCTCTTAGGTCGAAATGATTCAGATTAAATACTGAAGTATTTCTTTTTGATGTAATCAATTACACATGAGTCACAACTTATACTCCCCCTCCTTCTCCTATCACCACTGAGTCCACTGGGACAAATGCTCCCACTAAGACCGAGACCAAAGTGACCACTAAAATCAAGACTAATGTGACCACTAAATCAGCTTTGGGAATTGGATTAGGAGTAGGGGGAGGAGATGCTCTTATTATTTTAATTTCTGTGGGAGTCTTCTTTTTGTGGAGGCATAGAAGACCTGTATTGCAAATATTATAATTTTTAGCGTGATTCACACTGCATGAAGCAATTTTTTATAGTGCAGATATTCAAATTTTATTTTAATTTTACTAATTTATAATAAATTTTTTATAGGTTATTGAAATTATAAAATTTTTTATCATTTAATTTCTAAAAAGATGTCTTTTTTTATAAATATAAATACATATAAATTAAGATACACATGACAATAGCCAATAAAACAAATTTACCAATATCCACATATAATAAGACATAATTACCATTTCAACCGTTAATATTCTTTCATGCAACAATGGGATTGGCCATATCATTTATCCAATGAGACCTATTTTAATGAACACGATTTGTCACATTTATTTTGAACAAAGATTTAGATTAAATATTTAAATATAAGTATTTTGATTCATAAACTATACACAATGATGATAAATAAATAAATAAATCAATTAATTAAAATAAATTTCTAAATAATAAAATAATAGAAGGATTAATAATTTTTATAAAATAATATTTAAAATATAATATAAAATAAGAATATAAAATAACAAATATATAAATTAATTTTTACCAATCAAGTTCATCATTAATATCCACGAACACAGATCTAATTTCATTTGATATTTCATCAGGTTTAAAAAGCCATCCACTTATTCTTCTTTCTCTAATAGAGAATTTATCTACTTCTGATCTTATAAGTATTAATAATTCTTGTAATCCGAATTATGGATAATATCAAATCACTTTCTACTATTGAAGGTGAAGGTGATGGTGACATTCGATGTAATTGTGTAAAATCTTCTAAAGATCTTGGGTGGGTGTAAAGAAAGTTTCAATGTTGATGTTATGATGCTCTTTAATCTATTAGATTCTATTGAAATTTTTAGTCTTGGATAATTATTGTTGCTTTACTTCTGATCCAATATTATTAAAACCTTTATTATTAGAAAATGATGACACTGTTGGTGTTGATGAAGTTGATGAAGTTTGTATTTGTGTAAAAGTTCGTTGCGGTGACGATTTTTCACGTTGACTTTCTGATAAGTTTTCTTTACTTTGATTATTTTTTTAAACATTTGTAATACTTGGTATAGATTTTAATTCATATTGACCATTTAAAGTTTTGCATAACTCGATTAATCTTAATTACAATTGATTGTTTTCAGCCCATAACCATTTTTTATTAAATATTTTTTTCCAAAATAACTACTTTTGTTCTAATATTTTTAACGATATTATAAAAATCGTTGATATAGTTCGCATTGTACGTAATATCCATATTTTCTATAACAGAATTTCCATAGTTAGAGATTATGAAATAGGTTTTAGTTGATTAACAATAATTCATCTTTTAATTCATTTTCTTTATTATTAATATCTATTAATCCGTCATCAGCACAAACTTCTTCAATAAGATCACTAATACCAATTTCAGTTCCATCAGTTGGAATAAAAGAATATCGAACTTTAGATGATCCAAAAATATGAGAACTTCTAATTGCTATATTTAATTACATCCACCTCTTGTTTATTTTTACGTGAAGTTAGAATTGATTTTTGTCAGGATCTAGAATATTCTCGCTGTTGTTCAATAAGTTGCTATCGTAATAAAAATTCATCATTATTATTTATCATATTTACTGTTGTTACCGTGGGCACTAAACTATTTTCATTGGACAAATTTGATCTTTGTGATAATTCTTGTACAAATTGTCCATTACAATTAAACATAGTGGATGATTTTGTATATCGTTCTATATTTTCATGCTGATATGTTTATGATAATCATCGGGATGTAAAAGTCTTAATTCATCTGGATTATAATCAAATGTCAAAGAAGTGGATAAATAAACAAAATACATTAAAATAGAATAAAATAATAATAAAATAATCATCTACCATGTATATGATATTTTGAAAATTATCATAAGGTATCCATTGTAACAACTTATGGTAAATATTATTAATTTGAGATTCTTGTACAATCTTCATTCTCACTAGACCAAGTTTTAAATTCTTGGATAAAACGATCTTTAGTACACGAATCACATATTTCAAAATAACTAAAAGAATGATAATGATTTGTCGGACGGTACATTATTTTTTCTATTTCTCAAGATATGGGAAATCGTTATTAAAAATTTTGAATTTTTTTTTTTTTATTCTCAAACTCATATGATTCATTGTTTGAGGGTTGAAAAAATCGATTCAAGTCGACTAGCCGACTAAGTCCGTCGATTTTTATGAGTCGACTAATTTCTAAAATAGGAAACAATATTTTTTTGATCGACTTATATTACTCGAGAAAATGTTAATACTTAGAGTTTGTAAAACCTCTTAAAAAAAAAAATAGGGTACCCGTATCAATTCCATCGATGTTTAGTAATCACGAAAAATCAATTTATTCTTAAAGCCAAGTGTGTTTTGGGAACTGTTCCAAAATATGAAAAATTAATTAAAATTTATCATTTGCTCAAAATGAATTCTAGATGGTCAACCTTAAAATTTATTGAAAAAGATATTATATGCGCATTATGGGATCCTGAAAAGATTGATAACATTATCAATGATGAAACTTATATGAAATTAAAACCAGGTTTTATTATTTTTTTTAAATCAATGGAGCCTTACTCCAAAATGTTTATTTTTATTGTTAAAATAAATACATAATATATAAAACAAAAAGTACATGAGGGAGTTTGCTAAAATTAATTACAATTTACAGCACAGCCCATCGTTGCTCAGTGTAACTGAGAAACTGATTAGTCAAAGCCCTGTCAGTTTATTTTAAAATAATGTGAAGTCCCTTTTATGCTAACACCATTCACAAGTTTTGCCCATAACCACTTTTTTTGCATAAAAAATTGCTGTGTATAAAGTGTTTTTGATATCCCCTGAACCATTGTCTTTATCATAATTAATATATTATGATGTATCTAATTGATGCTGTTCATTTAATATATGTCACCATATACCCTTATACTGTCCTGCGATTGTGTTAATTGTGTTATTATTGGTGAAGTCATAGGTTTTTTCCGTCCGAATTTTTTTCCTTGGAACTAATATTTTTGCTTTTTTCCCATATCAAGATTTTTTCACAATAATATTTCCATATATGAAATAAATGAAGTTTGAATTTGATCATTCTTTTAGATATAACTAACTTACTATCTTTGTAGTTTCCTGTTATCTCAAATTCCATTATGCTTTGATTAGTGTAGTCAAAGTCTATTGTACAAAGTTTCAATTTTCTTTTCAAGGTTTCTAATTGTAGATTTGGTTATAAAACATTTGCAATTTCGTGAATGAGGATTTTGATAAATGAATATAGAAGCTACAGGAATGAAATAACTATTGGCATATAACCAGGACCAGGGCTTTCAATCGATCTTAGAAATATCTTAGTAGAAAATTATGAGTGAAGTCAAAAACAAGAATTTTGGTAAATGATGTAATATTATGTAATATTACACCTAAAAAAATTTACTGATTAATTTATAAATAAATTTTCAAAAAAGATGTCAACAAAGATTATGCAACAAAATAGTAATACTTGCTGTAACATTCTTATAAATAATAGATGATATTATTATCTATTATTATTAGGACGAACATAAAAATTTTGTTTTTATGCCGAAAAAGCTATTTATTTTAAATAAAAATCCAAAAAAAAAATGTATTAAAAAAAGAAAGTTGATTGTTAATTCCAACGCTAAAAAAAATAAATTAAAAAATAAATTTTAAATTATCGCACTAATTTATAAAGCGCGATAATTCTTTATAATTATCATTTAATAAATGATAATCTATGTATATAATAACGATGCGATAGTCATTTTTTTTGCTTGAAAAAAAAGTGGTGATTATTGATGATGAACATTCATCAGACGTACTACATCATAACATAAATGTAGAGTTAAAACAATTAAAAGAGATGAGCATTTGGAAAACATTTTACTTGAAGTCAAGGATTGACAAATATGTTATTGACAATTAAATTATATAGACTTACTTCACGTGATAATTAATTTATTAATGATCGCCTTAAAAATGAATATCTTGCCCAATAACTTCGAAGAAAACTTTATATTATTACGGCTTGCCTCTAAAAGCCTTTAATTTCTAATAACAGTAAAAAAAGTTAGTTTTACTTAGGTTTTTTATTACTAAACCTTTAAAAAAACTGGTGTTTTTCGCATGAACTAAACTATATTAATTGAAGTTTAAAAGTTAAATGAAACTTCATTATATAAATTATTATGTACAAGTTAGAGAAATTTAATTAAAATTATATATCTTATATTTTTATTTTATATAAAAATTTTATTAATAAAAGTTTTTATTAAAGTATAATATATTAAAAATAGGAAAAGTATATTGTTTCTTTAATCTAGATTTCGGTAAATCATAAAAGTTATATTATACAAGCGATCATCACGTACCACACCATTAAAAAATATTTTTAAGATATTTTGTATCAAACCATAAAAATAATAAAATTTCTAAATTGAGGTAATTAAAAATTAAAAATGATCACGTTATATGTAAATATAAACAATAATCTTTTTTAGCAGATTCTCGTGTGACCAACATAAATTAAGAAATTATTTGTATGAGCGAAAAATTAGAACTTTTATGGCGTTTTTAAGATGCATTTCTCTTTTGAAACAATCCCAACCTTTGTGTGGGTATTCATAGCTATCTATATTGTTCATTGGATTAATAAGCCAAGATTAAGTAAAGTAAGTAATTTTTGATTTTTATTTTTTTTATCATATAATATTTAGCTTTTTTAATTCATTCTTTTTTTTCCTTCAGAATGAACCTCCAATGGTTTCTTATAAAATTCCAATTATTGGACATACATTGGATTATTTATTTAATGCCGAAAATTTTTTGGCCAAATGTAGACAACAAGTAAATTATAATAACAATTCATTTCTAGTAGTCACCATTAAAAAAACAATAAATTAACAAAAAAAATTGCATGTATAGTACGGTGATCCTTTCAATATATATGTATTTGGTCAAGTGACTACTATAGCTGGAAATGAATTTGCTCATGAAGTTTATAGGAGCGATGTCTTTAGCAAGGAAAGCGCTTCACAAGATGTAAATAAATTTACAAACTATCAATCATTTCAAATACATATTTATTTTAGATGTTACTTATTATATTGTATTTATATATTATGCATTGTCAACTTAGTCATTTCCTTTGCATCGTGTTTTAAAAATTCTTGAGTATCCTGAAACATCTGATCAATTTATCAAAACAGTACGTGAACAATTTGTTGCAAAATTACCTTTATACACTGGAAGAATGCAAAAACAACTTATGATTTCTATTAATAAAGAAATTGGAGATTGTTCTAGTAAGTCACTTTTATTCTCTTTGATTTGTTTTTTGAAATAATATTAACAATTTTATTTGTAAAGATCCTAAATTAATTATCACGACGAATGGTATTTTCTCAAGCATAATCGCTCGTCCAATAGCTGATACTTTGGTTGGACAGGTAAGATAAATTGTATATTTTAAATATGAAATAATATCTTAAAATCTTTATCTTTATATTATATTAAAGGAAATATCAAAAAATGAAGACGTGGTCAAAGCTTTTGCTGATTTTACCAAAGATTTTATATCAATTCTCAGAGTACCTCCCATTCTTTCATTCATTCATCCAGAAGTCCATACCCAACTTATCACTTTACCACTTAGATTTGGGTGGAATCCAATTTTAAAGCACGTTATTACTTTAAAGAAACATTTGAAACCCGTATTAGAAAAAAGATTGAAAGATAAAGAAATTCTTGGTGATAAATATGAACCACCTGTAAGTATTAAAAAAATTTTTTTTAATGTGACTAACGTAACTTCAATACTATTAAAGAAATATTGATTATATTTTAATAACAATAGCTAGATACAATCGAATATCTTTTGAATGATCCTGAATACGGAACAAAAGTTATTACTGATGATTACTTGAATAAAATCTGTGAATTTGTATATGTTATTGTTGTTGCCTCCATTTTCACTAGTGCTCATCATATTGCTTTTGCTCTTTATGGTAATAAAAAAGAAAAAGAAATTTTATATTAATTAAATTATAATCATTTTTATATAATTATCTCTCATTTTATGATTAAATATTACTTTATAGATTTTGCAGGTAGACCGGAATTATGGGATGATATTTACGAAGAACAAGAAAGAATTGATAAAGAATGTAACGGAGAATTATCACCTCAACATATTAACAAAATGGTGAAATTGGATAGTTTTGTGAGAGAATCTTTAAGGACTGGTGGCTCTGCGTTGAGTGTGTAAATTATGTAAAGATATTTTTTTATGTTTAAGCATTAAAAAATGATAATGCGAATATTTTTTTTTAAAACAATAGTGCACATTCCCCACAAATGTTTGGAATCTTATACATGTAAAAATGGCATGACAATTCCAAAAGGTACCATTCAATTTTAAAAAATTTTAATAATCTTATTCATTTAAAAATATTGAAAATATTAATTTCATTTTTTTTTAAAAAAAAAATAAATTTCTGATCTGACAGGTCGAATGGTTAAAACTTATTTAAAGGATATTCATTACAATGCCACAGCATATGGACCAGAACCAAGGTCATTCCTACCTTATCATGGTTTGGAAAATAAATTTCCTGCAACAAAAATTGATAAAAATTATTTTGTATTTGGTTCAGGAAAACATGCTTGTCCAGGAAGGTCGGTGAATTAATATTTTATAATAAAACTTCAGATAATTTTTTGTTAAATATTTATTAATTAAACCTAAATTATTTTTTTAAACAGATTTTTTGCTGTAAATGAAATTAAAATTGGTATGCATAAATTAATTTTAAATTATCACATTAAGACACCAAGTGGAAAGATTGAAAAAAAGGTACATTTAGGACCTTTGACTTTGCCACCAGTTGCTGGATTAATTTTTGAGAATAGAAAAAAATAGATATTTGACTAAATTTCCTGAACTTTATTTTCTATGAATTTGTAAAACATTTTTGATTAATTATTACAAGTATATTATCTTTGTACAATGATTTAAAATTGTTGAAAATGTATTAATGTAATTTTGGGATATATATTGAATTTTATAATAAATTTTTGAGGATACCTTTTACTTCGATAAATATAATTAAACCTACTTAATTGAGTAAATGATGAAGCAAAGAATAAACTATCAAATTATGCAATCCATCACAATATTTAATATAAAGTTCTTAAAGTCAAATAAATTGTCCAGTTATTGATGATTTCCCCTCGAAATTTTTTAACTTGCAGATTTCAAATGAAAATGTTTCTATTTGACTAATGATAGTCCATAATAATGAACTACAATTTAAATAATTATCAGCAATAATTAATAAATTTTCTAAAGCATTTGTGAGCACTAATAAATTATTAATACATCAGGAAATTTTTATCTATTTTTTTCATTTTTTCAACTTCGCTCACAATTTTCTACTAAGATATTTCTAAGATAGAAAGAAAGGCCTGATTATTGGCTACAAAAAAATGTGTGTTTCATTTCGGTAATATCAATATTAGTGGAGATATTCATGTTTAAAATCGGACATACGTGAAAAAATCATGTGAAAATTTGTGAAATTTGCGGAAATTTTCAAGATGAAACACATATCATTTTGCATCAAAGAACAGGCCTTTCTTTCTATCTCAGAAACATCTTTGTAGAAAATCACTCTGTACACTCACCTAGCAAAAGTATCCAACCACTTAAAAATTATTAATTACAAAGTAAATTTTTATCCGTTAATAACTCGTGATCTAACATATAAAAATGAGTCA